CCGAATTGCAGACACTTGAAAAATAATCAGTTTTAGGTAAAATAGTCTTTTTACCTAACAGTGTTATTTGATTACATCGCGTACCGTCTGTCTCTTTCTTCCTGTTCCTTTTATTCTTTTTTGAAAAGAATCATTTCATCGCTTGGGGCTTTATGCTCTCGGAAAAAATCAATGCATCAGTTAATGACCAAAATCATGCAGCGATCATCATGGAATGGTACTAACCTCTTTCTCGGTGGAGCAGTATGTGACAAAACGTGTGACATGAGAAACGGAGTTAGTATAAATCTCGGTAACTATAATGTTTTTGTTTTTTAATACAACTGAACATCCAATACGTATGTAATGTGTGTGGCCTTGCTAGAAATCGGAGCCATATGTGGAAACTGAAATCAGAACACCATCAGTGGATTTTAAAATGAATAGTTAAAATACAGATGGGAATTGGAAAGAAGCAATACATTAAACGAAATATTAAACCGAACCTGACATAACTGAACTGAAACTACAAAACTACACAGTTATAGATAATAATCCTAATAATATCATTTTGTTTACGTTTATTGGATACAAAGCAATTGTACACAATCACTGTTCAGGAAGGTGACCGCGGTCCATGAAGAGCTGTTGATCGGGACCTGTAGAACTATTTTAATGGTAACGGTGTGGAAAACACGATAACACTCGATTATTCTCAATCAATCTCGTGTCTGTAGCTCCTGAGTGAAGTTTGATTTGAATAGTGTGAAAAAAGTACACAGTATCAAAGAACGATTTTTGAATAACACTTTAAACACCCATTACCCATCAGCTGCCGACCAGCCCATTGTGTAGTTTACCTAGAAAAACCATGGATGGTTCCTTGTTCCACGTCCTCGAAATGTGTATTTCAATTTTTACGGAAAAACATGAGACCACAATGACTGAAATTTTCTCACTTTTCTTCCAAACCACTGAGTGTAGTAAAATAACCTTCTCATCAGACACAAAAACCGTGTCAGACTTGCTAGAGGTCTATCAAACGGTACAATAATCAAACCTCGGGGGGAAGCATTGGGGGTGATGGTGGCCCGATGGTAACATCATCAAATTTTCACCCCGGGGATGTGTGTTCGAATTCCACCACTACCACTACCTAACCTATCCCATTGTATGTTGAATGGCAGCTCTTTGATTGGCCGCTTCCTCCTTCCTGAAAATCGTATCTTTGTATATTCAATAAGAGGAAGTAGAGTAAGAAAAACATTGTAAAAACACAAGTGGATTGTGTGAATCAAGTTCACATATAGTTTGGTTAATGGAGATTCCTATAAACAAACCGAAATTTTTCACACTAAAACATCCACATGATTAGCTCCTGACCATAGCGAGGCTCTCACAATGTGTGGTTAAGATGAGATCGCGGTTTACGAGAATTATACTCAAGAATAAACATGGTAGATGTTGAACGCGGAGGACTACTCCACGGGTTGCGCAATTGTCTCGCTCTCATCCGGTTTAATCTGAAAAACAGTTCGAATAACTTGTGTACTCGTGCTCACCCAGAAGGGCTACTCACGGTCGGATCGAAGTTTCTGCAATTACTCTGCCTATCGTCAGCACGCAAATGGGGTTCTCTTCAAGGACAACCACCTCCTCCTCCTGTTCAAAAATTTACCTTTTCCCCGAAAAGGTCGAATGCAAAATAGGTGTTAGGTTTTAGTATTTGTTCGTTAGTCAGAGCTGCGGTGATCAGAATCATTTGTTCACCAACACACCAGCCTGTCCTGCAAGCATATAAAATAACCATTCATGCATCATGGCTTACCGCGGACCAATGGGTCGCTGACTGATTCGCTACGAATATCCTTCTCTAAATCAAACTTCTCAGTCATTCAATTGTTTTGCATTGGACTCATTCAGGTTGGGAACGGTTCAGAGCTCAACGTTTGTAAGAATTGAATGATTCCTGTCTTGAATTTGTTTGAATCACGATAATTACTCCGCAGTTAATCATCTCACCATCAACTACACGTTCTTGAAGGGTGTTTTCCACATCCAAGAACACGTAGTTCTTATTTAATATGCTTCGTTTATGTATGCAATAGCAAATCAAGATTACCCTATCGGTGTACTTTGTTAAGTGAACTTTGGTAATGTTTACAACAGCGCTCCATACACATATATTGATCGTTGGAAACCAAATTACTAGTTCCAGACAATTCAGGCTATACAAAACCAATCAAAATTTGCTTTGATTTGACCAATAAGAACTGTTTGGCGGAACACATCGGCTATATTTTTCTAAACCCGGTCAACGTCCATGATTCATTGCACTGAAAACATCCCACATACAATGTCATCGGCAACATCTCCTGATTTGAGCGAAACAGAGAGACGGATCATGATTCCCATAGATCACAGTGTGCATTCGAAACGCGCTGTGGAATGGTACTTACACTACCTATCCAAACAGGATGATTTATTAATACTGGTACACTCCATTGAGCCGATCAGTACGGACACATTTGTCGGGACAATCTTGGAAGATTTCCCGGCCACATTCAGCAATACATGCAAAATTTCTGAGACCGCCATCGAAGACGGGAAACAATTGTGTCGAGATATTGCACACCTGATCGAAAAGGAGAAAGGGATCACACTGCGCAAGGTACTCTATATTGATCATAAACCTGGGCACATGATTGTCACCGCAGCGAATGAACTGAAACCGCATTTGATCGTGATGGGTAATCGTGGTGTCGGTAGGATGCGTGAAACGTTTTTGGGAAGTGTAAGCAATTACGTTTTGCATCATGCCAATGTTCCCGTCTGTATTGTACCGCCCGAGCGATCGACGCACTTCAAATGACCTGATTTTTCGGGTATTGATCCTCATTTAACGCATGACCTCAATTTTCTTTGTAATAATGATTTGAACAAAACTGGTATGTGTTGCTCCACAAGTACCAAGTGAACGTTGTCCGCTTTTCTACACAGTGCATTATAATGCACAAGGGAACCAAACGTACACCAGATACTCGGCAACGCGTTGAACATATCGCTTTCAGTTGAGAACACAAAGAGGCTTGGAGAACTGACATTTTAAAGTTTTATGGTTTAACGTGTTCCATGAGAAAAAATTTGGTTAAAATCATTTATGGTAAGCAAGCCCAGAATTGAACAAAAGTTCATCCATCACGATTCACCATTCCGTTACGTCTTGTTCAGTAGTATTACGATTTGAGGACAAATACATATTCCTAGCGCGCTCTCGATTGTTTCGGCGAGATGCGCTAATCACAAAGAAAATTTACGCTAGTGATGCACACTTAAAATAACCGGAGAAAATCAAAACACGTTTTACGTACTTTCGAAGTGACTAGCATTTAACTAACGATCAGCAACTGCTGAACGAAACGTGTTCACCAGTGGACTAATTGAATTCTTGCATTTGGGCTTATCAAACTCGGTCAGTAATGGACAGATATCCATTTGTCTAAACAGACCCACAGAGCACATTTTCAAATAGAACAAGGAGTGGCGAACAAGCTCGTTTACACCCCATATTCCGAGTGGTCCCAACGATCGGATGACCTAACAATCATGTGATCATTGAGAATTCCATATCCGGTCCCAAGATGAACTTAGCCCCAGATAACCCATGAGGTTATTTTCCCTTTCCCGAAACATTTGTTTACGTTTTTTATGATTGAATACCGATTTATATAATATAAACAGCGTAATATTTATTGTGATGTATTTGGAATGACTACGAATCACTGAAAACGAGCTTGCTCGCCACTCCTTGTTCTATTTGAAGGTATCCATTTATCATATAGATGCGTACTCTTCACTCAAAACTGATCAATACCCAGTGCTAGGTATCATTAAGGTAACCGTCTCATCAAAGTTCGATATTTCGTTCTAACCTGACAAAAGAAGTAAATACTGAGCACCTTGTTTTTGGTCTCCTGCACATACCAAACTGGATGTCGAAAAATTTCTTGCACTGATAAGCTAGGTTTTTGATAACCGTCACTCCCGAGATACATTCGCGGACATTGTTCAGAGTTGAAGGTTACTATATCTTCTCATTAGAGGTTGGTAGTAAAAAACGGTTCAACCTCACTAAATGTCATTTTTTTCAAATTTATACAGTTTCTGGATGGGTGAATACCAATGCGGAATTCATTCAATAACCACTCAGCAGTTGGGATTTAAATGTAATTTAAAACATTTCCCTGTGATAGAAACAGGGATATGTTAGCTGCTTCTACAATGGTTGCCAATGGGTAGGGTGCGGCTTGTAATACAGGAAACAGGCAAATTCTGTTGGATGATCAAATCGGCGAACCCCATACAAAAGTGACCACTTCCAGTGCTGAAAAATGAAGAAGGGCAAAGAGGAAATGAACCGGATGAAATTACAATATGTATATCAACTTCATGGCTCATTTTTATAAATAAATTTTATTTTACAACTGATGCACCACCAATCATCGACAGAATCGAGAAATGCTACATTTCATTGGAATTCAACTAACAGAAGCAAAAACAGAAGTTGATATTATTACGAATATGTTGCGTTTGATATGGGGCAATATCACATTCACTCCCGTGAATGGGGCTCAAAACACTAAGCGAGGGGAGGAAACATTTGTGATGAAAGTTCGGTTGTTGCTCGAGTTTGGTCAATATATATATATATATATATATCACATCTGAATCCACACTGTATACCTGAAAAATCAAGGTACAATAATATACATGAAATGAACAAGTTTCACGGTTTGCTCGTGGGCGCGATACTGCTTGTTTGCCCCTACCAAGTCTGTTGAATTTTATTGGGCAATTCAAAACCGGAGCTTTAAATTAGCCAAAGCCTGACACAGAGTGCATTCAGGCGGTCTGTAAAAATCGCAGTCTATTGGGAGACCAGTGTCCAGTTCATCAAATCAAACTCCCGTTGAACGAGGCTAAACGTCCAAGATGCCCACCTAGATGCTCAATGGAGACGGTGACGGCGACAATTAGGAAAGTGTGGTTGTGGTTCATTTGCCTCAGTTTTGGTGATTTGAAATCAGGTTTTCTAGCCCACTTCCCCAGATCAACTGCCAGTAGTTCATTGTCCCGGTTATAGTCCCGGATGACGACTTTTAGTCCTCCCGCTTTTGTGAGAAAACATTTCCGGCAAGGATAGGGCCTCCTCTGCAGAGACTGTTTAACACATTGCTCTATATTTATTTTGGTTATGAGCATTGGGTTAGTATTCGAATACTAAAACTGCGAAAGAGTGAAAGCGCAGCAGAAGCATTCCGATTGAGACCACATGGGTCTGAGCATAATTACGCTTGTGACAGACTACCAGAAAACAATATCACATCAGAGCGATTTGAGATAGCTTGGCAAAGAACTACGTTTACAGCATATTTAAACAAGACGTCTATCTTCCTTTATCTATCTATCACTATCATTCAACTTTCGATCCATCTTCGTTTCTACCCTTCCCCACGACTTGAACTAACCATGTAGAAAAACATTGTCAAAATAGTCCCACAGAGCACATTTCAAACAAAATCACAGAGTAGCTAACAAGCTTGTTTTCAAAGATTCTTATTCGTTGCAATACATCTAAATATGTTTCACTACTTGTGAATAAAATTGTCTTGGGAAATAAAGTGAAGTCACAGGTTACTAGAAACGAGTTCAATGTGAGACCGGAAATCGGATTCACCATGATCACATATTTGTTTGTCCATTCATCCGATCATCGTGATCACTCGTGATATGGTGTGTGTGTGTGTGAGGGGGCAAGGAAGCTTTAGAGTTTGCACAAATGATTTTGGGGCAGACAGAGGAAAGAGAGAGATTTATTGGAATGAATAAGGATCTCTGAAAACGCGCTTGCTCGCCACTCTATTGTTTTGTTTGCGGAACACACTTTGAACAGTTTTGTTTCGCAGAAGTTGGTCTTCTTTCCTAATTTGCTTTTAGGACTAGTATTATTTCACTGTACCCGCAATCAACTATGTTCTGCTTCAATATACTCCGATTGTCTTGTTCATTTAATCAGCTCTTATAGCATGTTATTTATGCTCCCCGGTCGCAGGGCAAGCATTGTCTATGGTGGTGAGCTCGGCTAGCCGATATCCAACGGCCTTTCCTGAGTTCGGGGTCATCAATGTCGGGATGAGATGCTTGTTCACTTATTTATACACTTTGAAGAGGGGAAATTTATAGAAATAGCACTACCTTATGTGTGTATCCTCATCGGCCTACATGAAATGCTCCCGTAGAAAATGTACCCATCTTTAGAGCTTTGCCTCGTGATAACGAGTTTGCATTCATAATTGGGCTTGGAAGGCAACTCGAGCTCAGACATTGTCATTTCATTGAGATGCCCATACGGATGCAGCTACGGCCGCACCGGGATTGTACAAACTGATTGCATGTGTCTTTTTCATTCCATGGGGTTACTGGTGTCCAGACGGATGTCTATTGCAATGGTGAGCTACAAACCATCACTTAAATATTACTTTCCCCGTTAGAATTTCCTATTCAGCAGAAAAATATGACTGTAGTTCAAGTTTTTACTTCTGCGATTCTTTTTGTTGGTTAACTAAACTTTAAAGATCGTGAATGCTGTAAATGGCGAGCGTGAGTTACGCAACATTAGTATCCATTCCAGGATTTTGAAACAGTTGATCCGTTAAGGAAATAACTCGCTTGCAAGCTTCACTTTATAGCAGACGTTTCACTTCACCAAATTGTACGTACGGTTCTATTTGATGAGATTTGTTTGATCATGTGACCAAATCAGTTTTGATCTGATTTTAAAATTGACAGTTTGATAGCACTGCAAATTGCGTTTACTGATTTAATGAAAAAATAAGTTGTCATACAATCTATGCGTAAAAACTCATTCAAATCTGTTCATATTGTGTTTGCGTGAATGTGGGAATCGGATGGATCAAAGTTCTCTGGCGTTTATTTTATAAACAAAAATGAGCACGAATAATGTGACTAAAAAGTTGTTACATCAACTCAAAGAACAAGATAAAGATATGGCAAGCCAGAGAGGTTGAACAAGGGATCAAATTTCATCTGAAATTTTGCAAGTGACAGCTTCGGTGGTTTTTGTTACAAAACACTAGATGACAAAAAGCTGATGGAGGAACCTTATTTTCAACAAAACCTACTGTGTGACGATGGTAACTGGTGTCCTAAAACTCTGAGTTTGGCACTAGGGAATGACATTAAACCTTAGTAGGATTGGGATGTTATTGAGTCGGTTGACAGCAAAGCTTTTTATCACTCAGATTGTGTGACATTGGTAGTTTTTGAACCTCGGACCCTACAGCCCGAATCGCGTCAATAACAGCGAGTTAACTCGCTTGCGCTGTACCACAGTTGTCTTGAACTGTCTGTGAATAAACCACAAGGTAATAATTTCAAACACCCCCGTGTTCATGTTGGTTTAAAAAGCTTTTCACTTAATTTTTAGTCTGTTATTCAACTATGCAACCAATTTATATCACCGGAAACGATGCAATCATGTGTGACCTCAACCAGTTGTTTCCAAAGAATTGGTTTTATATGGTTATGGAGCAGCATGCAATGATGTAATTTTGCTGAAATCCGTTGGAAAAACGGATTCTCCGAGTTTTCTCTAAACATCTTCATACGCTTTTAAGGTTCGGAATCAAATGTAGGCACTTTTACAGATAGCGGAAAACATTATCAAATAAGGAACCATGATCAAGTTTCAAGTAGCCAATTGGGTTGATTTAATGACTTCCGTGTAGTCTGATTGTGATAGTACGATGAAAAAACCATCGTTAAAAGCACTGTTCAACATATGAACCTCTG